TCCTCACTCTATAGGATTCTAAATCTTGAAATCTACATCCAAAGGGCTGTAGAAGCTCCACTGTTGAGCATCTTTTGAGTCATTTGGATTTCTGGACACTAACAACAAGGAATTTTGGGTATTTGTGGTGAAAAATGGTGTCTGGGATAGATAATCGTGATCTAGTTGTATATCAGGCAAGCTTCTGTTGGCCCAGGTATCTAGGTTTCTGTATCTGACATTTTAAACCTGTCCTGTACTGTTTGGGAGCTGAGACACATGATCCATTTCTGCAGCTTGATGTTGGCTCTTTAAGCTAATGTCTATATTTTGGACGTGTCAGGGAGGAGATAAGATTCCATCCCCAGGAGGCTGTCTAGGGCTTAGTAAATCAAATTAAGCCTGTGGTCCAAGAAAAGGTGACACCTGAGTAGAAAGTTTATGGGGCCAGCTAATGTTACTACTGGATAAGTCCAGATCCCAGAATGAAATATGACGTGATGGATCTTTTTCTTTTAAAATGGGTGTTCACTGGAATGTAAATACAAGAGACTTCTGATCTTTTTAACAATTAACCAACTTTATCACAAGGAAAATGTGCATTCATAAAAGACAACAATGTTTAAAACTTCAGTCTTAAATATTTCAGTCTACAGGTTTCTAACCACTCCTACTCTTGCTAGGAGAGAAAATATTGTTCTGATTCCAGTCATACGCTTTATTGGTAACAAAAATAGAAATTGCTCAAAGCTCAGCTGGTCTGGAGACATCTGTGGCAAGAAAACCTGAGGAAGGGTCACTTGACCTGAAATACTAATGCTGATTTCTCTCCAGATGCTACCAGATCCACTGAGCTCTTCCAGCAACTTCTTTTTTTTTGTTTCTAATTTACAGCATCTGCAGTTCTTACGGTTTTTAAATGTTTTATTGGAATTGTTGCCACTAGTCACATTTTGAAATTGACTTTCTATCCATTTTTAATTGCCTTCTCAAATGACCCATGTACACGTGCCTCTCCTTTTTAAAATCCAAATCCCAAAAGATAATAGACCTTTCATCGCAAATATGCAAAAGTTTCTGGAATGTCCTATCCACAAATAAGGACAAATGTAATCTAGCCAGTTATCACCACATCAGCAGTTGACAGGTACAATCAAGTGGCATTTGATCAGCAGTGAACTAGACACTAATGCTTTTAAGGATCCGTCAGGTCCTTTCAACAGCTCCACCTCCCCTCTTTAGCCATGCTTCAACCAAGGCTGCAAAAAACTGAATTGCACATCAGTGATTGTTCTCTACATCCAAGCAACATTTGACTGGGCTATTAAGGAGCCAGGGCAAATTGAAGCCACTGATGCCTGGATGAGTGCAGTTCCAACAACACTGAAGAAGCTTGACACCGTCCAAGACAAAGCAGCCCGCTTGATTGGCACCACATCCACTCCCTCCACCACTGACACTCGGTAGCGGCAGTTTGTACGATCTACAAGATGCACTGCAGAAATTCACCAAAGATCCTCAGACAGCACCTTCCAAACCCATGACAACTTCCATCTAGAAGGACAAGGGCATTAGATGTATGGGAACAGCACCACCACCACCTACAAGTTCCCATCCAAGTCACTCAACAGCCTGACTTGGAAATATATTGCCGTTCCTTCAGTGTTGCTGAGTCAAAATGCTGGAATTCCCTCCCTAAATAGCATTGTGGGTCAACCCACAACAGGAGGACTGCAGCAGTTCAAGAAGGCAGCTCACCACCACCTTCTCTCAAGGGCAGCTAGGGATGGGCAAGAAATGCTGGCCACCCAGTGACTCCCACATCCCACAACTGAATGGGGGGAAAAAAAATGGGGTCTCTCCGCTGGTTAGTCTTACCGAGCACACAGGAGAATGACTAACAGCTAATCATCCTAGTCCCAGCACAACATTGCAAGAGTTCATTTAACAGGGTGGCCTAGTTTTGGAAAGTAGGATTTAAACCCCTTTAAATCTGAGTTCCCTTGGTGTTCCACATGTTACACAGGAATAAGACCTTAATTTCACTGTTCTAGCACTAACTTGCTTTCTACCAGTGTAAATGAGACTTATCGGACACCTATACCTCATGCAGTATTCTTGTAAAAGAGGGTTTTGCTGTTAGGAGTTGGCCAGGGACAATGGTCACCTGATTTGTTAAAGCATGATCATTCACTGAAAGAATTCAGAATTAACGCAATGTTACCTGTCCCCTAGAAATAGACTTTATCAACAAGTGTGCAGCGACATTGGGTGATCCTTGGAGAACCAACTTCGAGGTGGAAGATAGTTTGTTAACACCTCAGCTAGAGAGCAGGGTGCTACCTTTGAAACTTTCATAAGACCGACGCGTTCTGAACCACAGGCTTTTTGTCTTCTGGTCAATGTCATGGTTGTATACTCTGTCTAATTATATATCCTATTTAAAAATTTTCTAAACTGAAACGATCAAATTTATTACAAATTGTCAACTTCCTATTTTTGGTAATTGTAACCATAGACTACGCCCCTAAAATCATCACTAGCACCAACTAATTTCACTTCAGTTATCAATGACCTTCCTTCCAGCATAAGGTCTGAAGTAGGAACATTTTGATGTTCAAAACCATTTCAGTTCCTCTGTCTATGGTAAGTAATGCTTATGTCCTGAGTGCCAGACAATAGTCAGATCATCCCTAAGAGGAGAGTATCTAGCCATCTCTCATGACATTCAGTGGCATTACGATCTCTGAATTCCTCTACTATCAATAGCCTGAGAGTTACCTTGGACCAGAAACTGACCTGGATTAGTCATAAGTATTGTGGCTATAACAATATACAACTATAGAGAATAGGTACACTCCTCCAAGGAGAAGATTAACACTTGGGCCAGAATGACAGACCCTGGTGAAAGTACAAATCTAGTACATGTTGAAGAAGCACTTAATTGTGCCCAGACAAAACAAATAAAAACCAAAAGAACTGCAGATGCTGTAAATCCGGAACAAAAACAAAATTGCTGGAGAGGCTCAGCAGATCTGGCAGCATCTGTGAAGGAAAAAACAGAATTAACAATTCTGGTCCGGTGACCCTTCCTCAGAACTGATGGTGGCTGGGAAGACGTCAGTTTGTATTCAGAAAATGGGGAGGTGGGTGGGGTAGGGAGTAAACGATAGGATAGGGCCCAAAGAGAGAGAACCTGGTGTGTGGAGTAGGAGGCTGGGACATGGGAGAGTTTAGGCCCTGAAATTATTGAACTCAATATTGAGTCCGGAGGGCTGTACGGTCCCCAAGCGGAAAATGAGGTGTTGTTCCTCCAGCTTGTGTTGGGCTTTGCTGGAACACTGCAGCAAGCCATAGGCAGAGATGTTGGCCAGGGAGCAGGGTGGTGTGTTAAAGTGGCAGGCAACAGGTAGTTCAGGATCTTTTTTGCGAGCAGAAAGTAGAGGGAGGAGGTAAATGGGCAAGTGTTGCACCTTCAGTTACAGGGGCCAGAATTACCCAGTGCTGTTAGTGTCCAAACGTGATGGATCAGCCACATTCTGTATGGACTGCAGAAAGGTCTATGCAGTAATAAATGCTGACGCCTATTCAATTCCTTGTTTGGAAGACAATATTAATATCTGGTAATGCCAGGTTAGTTAATAAAACGGATTTGTTAAAGAGTTCCTTTTAATACCCAGAGCTAAAGAAATATAGGCCACTGTCACACCAGATTTTTTGTCCCAATATTGAACGATAGTATTTGGGCTAAAAATGTTTGTGATAAGATTCCCCCACAGGAAGTTGGTTAGCAACATTAAAGCCTGTGGGATATGAGGTAATAAGCTGGTATGGATTGAGGATTAGCTACCAGACACAAAACAGTGGGAATAAATGGCTCATTCCTGTGTTGGCAGGCTGTGACAAGTGTAAGGGATAACGGGGTTTGGAACTAGGACAGGCAGATGGAAGTGAAGTAAAGACCAAGCATGATTGATAAACTGGCATGACAGGCTTGAGGGGCTGAGTAGCCTTCTGTTTCATGCTGGCAATCTGTAGAATGGCTACAATAGGATTAGCTATCAATGGTGGAATTGATTAATGTATCACCACGTGAAAGCAATGTTAATTTTATATGATGTCTTTCACGCCTCCAAGATATCCCAAAGCACTTATAACCAATTAATTGCTTTTAGTGTAGTGGCTTGTTATGTAGGTAAACAGAGCCAGAAGTGAGATATATGACCAGATGGTGGCAGTGTAGGATAAATATTGACTAAGACATTTCTCCAGCTCTTAAACAGTGCCAGATTTTTTTTAATATGTTCAGGTGGACAGGCCTCTGGCTAACATCTACCTAAAAGTTGTACTTCTGAGACCAGCGCTGATTCAGTATTTTATGGTTGTCTCAGCCAACGTAAAGGTTCAAAAACTGGAGTGGGTCTTGACCTTACAACAAAATAAAAATGAAAACTGAAAGAACTATGGGTGCTGGAAATCAGAAAGAAAAACAGCAATTGCTGTAAAAAGCAACATCTGTGGAGAGAAATAATGTTTCAGGTCCAGTGACCCTTCATCAGAAGTCGGAATTAAAAATGAATACTGCGAATGCTAAGAATCTGAAATTAAAACAGTGCTGGAGAAACTCAGTGGGTCTGGCAGCATCTGTGGAGAGAGAAACAGGTAACATTTTGAGTCTGATGTGACTCTACTTCTGTACTGACCCTACAATCAACTGAGTTGAGGGTCAGAATGCTGCTAACTGAGCCGAGGCTGATGTTTCGACATAATGTTTATTTGTATCCCAGGAAAAATTAAGCATTTATGAAATGGAAAAGATTCTTATCCTATAAAATTCTAAGCAAAAGGGCCTTTGTAGCTCAGAATTTAATAGGAATCTAACTCTGCCAACTTGAGGCATATAACTCAGAAAGATATTTGATTGTATATGTATGTCAACTGAGAGAGCAGGTTGATCAAACACACAGACAGTTTGAACATTATAATGTGAATTTTAGCATTAACGTACTCTTGGATTGCAGTCTACCAGTGTGACTATCAGGCTTGCTACCTGACTTGAAGTGGAGAATACATCAAAATTCAGATCCCAAAATCAAACTGAAGCCGAACAGAACAAGGGAACTTTTGAGATGTATCTCGATATTGAGAACGGTTTTGTTTGATACAGCATCTGCAACTCATTCAGGCACTCAAAGGTAACTGAAATCACCTGGGAATTATTATCTCTGTTTATTGATCTGCATTTTACCCGATATTTGCGTTACTTATTGGTTCAAATATGCAACAATTGATTTTGCTATCAGTATAAACAATTGAACCACACTCTGACTTAATTTCCTTCTCTTCCTGCGCAATGTGTTAGCCAAATCTCTAGTTGCTACCTGGTTGCTTCAATCTAAACCAAAGTTCCTAAGATCACCTGGGTTTGAATTTGCTATATATTCAGTTTGTTGTCTGAATAGAAGATGCAATTAATCCATGCAATAAAATGAACTGTAACCTCACATTTAATGTACTTTGCCTGAAATACTTTAACTAGGCACTAGGTGGAACTCCAACTCATTCAATGTGTTCTCTGATTGCAGAGGGAGTAAAAAATCTAGTTTGCCGTCAATCGGCAAATGAATGCTTGCAGCAGAATCTTTAATATTTGCATTCGCATCTCTGTTTACTTTCCATTCTTCCTTCTCCCACTTTTTGGCAGTTTTCCACAACATCAAGGAATGCTGGTTGAATTCACATGTATTGTGGCCATGATGTTGTCCCTCCTTTGTTTCAATCTCTTTGTAGCATATTGAAGGGTGAACTGTCCCTCTTGACGTCCAGCTAAGTGGTTTACAGTTTGACTGCTTCAGTAGCAATCAATGAAGTTTGCCTGCTGCCCTTAGTGTTTTGTTCCCACTCCCCATTCTATTACTACCTCAATCTGCCTATGTGTCTGTCATTCTGTCTCTGCTCTCACTATTCTTCTCTCTGTCTGTCTCTCTCTCTCTCTCACATATGTGTCAGCTTTGCTCTCTCTGCTAATTCCCATGACCACGCTGTAATTACCTTTTAATTAATCTTCCTTTTATTTGACATTTTAAGTGTTGAGAAAAATCTAACACCCCAGACACCAGAGTGGAACTATTTAGAGCATTTTCTGTACTAACTGTATGTGCAAATTCATAGGTTGGGACAAGTAGAACTTAGTGAGTTGCCAACTATGGCCACAGAGCAGCAGGTCATTCCATGGCACAGACAATCATTGAGAGCACTTTTCTGTCGAGAATAAAATAGAACTATCAGAACATAATTTGTGATAATTTGAAACCTATAGGGCACGAATGTTCCTTGACCAAGGTGACTGATGAGAACATATGAACCAAAAAGAAATAGCACAATTGTTTTAAAAATAAAACTTAACTTTCTGTATGCCCTGCAATTTCGTGGAATTATATACTGTTATAGGCTGCATTGATCTACTGATTTGTGCACACAAAGGGGCGAAAACAAGTGCATGTACAAGACTTATTAGAAATTTTCTTCCTGTGCATACTTTTCTTTCATAACAGTTATGTGTAGATGTCAAAAGTCTAGATGGCTGCCATTTTTGTGATTTCTATTATATTTTAAATCCTATGCTTTAAGCCATTTTCGTACTTAATGTCTACCAAGACTGTTTGGAACTCCAGATCTTTGAAGTGATTTATTTCTCATGCAATTATTTATAGGCAACTGCATAATACAATGTAATCCTCTTCCAGATTCTTTCTAATTTAAAACTGTGAGTTTTGCACTGTCTTCAAGCAATGTAATCTGTCAGGTGCAAAGCTGTTGAAAACAACTTCCTCTTTTAAGCCCTCAGAGCTTGCCTTGTGGTAAGTTTTCTACTGTGCAAATTGCTGAAATGTTTTTGCTTCTGATCAGTAGCAGCTTTATGATTAATCTTTGGGCTGAAAAGGCAAGATGCAGTAAGCATGCGAGGGAGGCACACGAACATTGTCTCAATATTCTGTGGTGTCTCAGTTTTACTTTGTGATTCTAAACCATGAAAATGCAGTCTGCAAAAAAAGATGCAGTTCAGGTTTCTGCCATAAAACTTTGCTTTTTTTTTATTTACCTGAAGGTGGTACATAAACTGGCATAATCCTGATCTCTGATGGCTCATCTACAATTTAAATGCAAGCTTGTTTGTAAAGCAAAATGTCTGAAAACTGGTTACTTTTATCTTTTTGTCTGTCAACTGTCTTTCAGAGACGAGGAGTCTATTGCTGGCATATCTATTCATCAATCAAAATAATCAAATGTGTTTCATCTGTCTGTTGTCCCATCCTTTTACTGTGTATAAGTAATTTCTTGCCATGTTTCCCATCTTAAAACAATGATGATATGAATGGAAGTTTTTCCTTTCCATTGGGACAATCCCAAGGTACTATTTCAAAGAAGATGGGTTTCTTGCTAACGATACCAAGAAAATTATCTCATCATTTACCTAATTGTTATTGGGATCTCATTTTCTTAAATTAGCTATTGTACTCTCCTTTAGTAAAGCAATGATTACAGCCAATGAGGAGCTTTAAATTATATGCTTTTAGGGTGTGAAAGGTCTTTTTCTGCCATACTGGATCTTGCGCCTTTTTAGTTGTTGAAGATACTGGGAAAATATTTTCCCAAAGGTCAAACATTATCAAGCAATTATGTTTCAGTCAAGTAGCATAGACGACACCAGTAGAGGAATCTAATATAAATCATTGTTAAGCCACAGCCAACACAGTTTTTTTGTCCACTTCCACTAACTGTAGAACAAAAAACCTTGCAAACAATGCAGGTGAAAGTGCTTCTTTCACCAAAGTTTGTAAGTCTGTCCTGATTTTCAGGCAGAGTAAACATCAGTGCAGCTTCTCCGAGTTTGATCAGCAGTTGCAAATGGTACTTTCGCCTTTAGCATTAATCACTTTTCAATCAAAAATAGTTAGCTCCATGAGCAACCATTTGATGACTAGTTAGCCAGCTAGCTCTCACCACCACCTCCAAACGCAATTAGGAATGGACAACAACTGCTGACCTTGCCAGTGACATCCATGTGCCATAACTTATTTTTTAAAACAAAGTCTTTGTGGTGGTTGATAACATGGGGAAAGTCTCGGTCCCTTATTTTAGAATATTGGATCCACTTGAAAGTTCAAACTATTAAATGTCTTGTCTGAACAGTGGTACCTCTAACAGTGCAACTGAGCCTCAGTACTGCATTGAAACATTTCCTGGATTTTGAGCTATTGTGTCTATAGTGGGACTTGAACCAAAAGGCTTCATGCTCAGGCAAGCACCACCATGAAGTCCTGGCTGCATGTCATTTTTTTTTTTTAAAAAGTACTACTTAGAATGGAAAAGTGCTACGTGACATCCTAAAAATGTGAAATATTCAATTTTGTCTTTTCATGTTAGTGGAGACAATGATTAATAAATTTATTTGCAGAAATAAAGAAAATGCTCATGAGCTGACATTATCCATATATGTGGAGTATAATTTAAACCACTGACTGCTATAATCATTGATCTACTAGAGACAGGATTGAGACATAGTTAATTTGGTCATTGTTAAAGCACACGTTGTAGTGAACTGTTTTGACCTTAAAGAATCATTTTGAAAGGAAGGAAAAGACTTCTTCTGTAATGAGCATCAACAAAACAATCTGGAGCTCATGGTTTTAGATAATCTGGTGATTCCAACTGCAAAGTTTGGGAAACATGGCAAGAAATTACTTATACACAGCAAAAGAATGGGACAACAGACAGATGAAACACATTTGATTATTTTGATTGATGAATAGATATGCCAGCACTAGATTCCTCGTCACTGAAAGAGTGTGGATAGGCAAGGGTCAGTGTTAGGACCACAACTTTTCACTTTTTTATATATAAATGATCTAGATGCAGGAACTGTGGGCATTCTGGCTAAGTTTGCAGGTGATACAAAGATTGGTAGTATTGAGCAGGTGGGGAGGCTGCAGAAGGATTTGGACAGGTTAGGAGAGTGGGCAAGGAAATGACAGATGGAGTACAACGTCGGAAAGTGGGAGGTCGCGCACTTTGGTAAGAAGAATAAAAACGTGGACTATTTTCTAAATGGGGAGAAAATTTAGAAGTCTGAAGTGCAAAGAGACTTGGGAGTTCTAGCCTGGGATTCTCGCAAGTAAACTTGCAGGTTGAGTCAGTAGTCAGGAAGGCAAATGCAATGTTGGCATTTATTTTGAGAGGACTTGAATATAAAAACAAGGATGTACTACTGAGGCTTTATAAGGCCGTGGTCAGGCCGCACTTGGAGTATTGTGTGCAATTTTGGGCCCCATATCTCAGGAAGGATGTACTGGCCCTGGAGCAGGTTCAGAGGAGGTTCACGAGAATGGTCCCAGGAATGAAAAGCTTAACATATGAGGAATATTTGAGGGCTCTGGGACTATACTCATTGGAGTTTAGAAGGATGAGGGGAGATCTAATTAAAACTTACAGAATATTGAATGGCCCGGACAGAGTGGATGTTGGGAAGATGCTTCCACTGGTAGGAGAGACTAGGACCCAAGGGCACAGCCTTAGAGTAAAGGGAAGACCTTTTGGAATGGAGATAAGGAGAAACTTCTTCAGCCAGAGAGTGGTGAATCTATGGAATTCAGTGCCACAGAAGGCTATTGGAGGCCAGGCCATTGAGTACATTTAAGACTGAGATAGATAGGCTCTTGATGATCAAGGGTTACAGGGAGAAAGCGGGAGAATGGGGTTGAGGAATTTATCAGTTAATATGAATGGCAGAGCAGACTCAATGGGCCAAATGGCCTAATTTCTGCTCCTATCTCTTACGGTCTTATGGTCTAAAATTTAAGCTGAAATTGAAGTTGGCCAGTAGGCTTTACATCGAGCATTTTCAAATTATGTTACTCCAGTTTTTAAAAAGTTGAATTTCTGAAGTGTTTTTGTTCAGTGAATTCTGTGCCAAGGTGCCTGGCTTGACTCTGAGAAACACTTGTGCATATGAATAGAAAGTTAACACTCCTGTGTCATGATAAGTTATGTGGTCACGTTTTTAACATGCTACTATTAAAGGTTCTTTTTTTCTGAATGAGATCTTAAATTGAGGCCTT